AAACCATTCTATGATTCTATGAAATGTAAAGCGATACTTCTGCTTGAAGTGTGTTCCTTTGTGCAGACGACTCAGTAATACAACGTAGCTGTTGGAAAGTACTTTTATTAAAAGTGCATGTATATACCTTTTGATCATCAGTTTTAAGATTGTAACCAATTAAGTGTACAGCTTGCAAAGATGTACAAATGCCATTATTCACTTGCTTTACAGAACTTTAAAAATTTTCAAATTGTTTAAGCGTGGTAACTGAGTATGCCCCATAGATGACTCTGCAAATCAGTAATTCTACAGAAGGGTTAATGCTTTGGTGCTGAGCAGAAGAAATTAACAGTCTTTCTTTACTGTCTTTGAATGTGCAAGATGGATGTATGTAATGCAGGGCACCATGGAGAATGCCCATAAGAAACAGGTATGAATATAGGAACATAGAGCTAGGGAGTAGCAAAGTATGCCAAATAGCATAAGGAGGTAAAACAATGAATGCAGAGTATATGTCCAGAATTGGATTTTTTTTCTTCAGGAATCTTAGCACCAACAAGGATGAGTGGATGCCTGAGTTATGCACCTCCACATAACTGCATTTCAAATGTGAGTATTGCAATAGCATGTTCAAAAATACTTGCTTACCCTGGCATCGTGTTGATAATTTGAAGGCATATTTAAACACATGGGTATATGAATTTAAGAAACTGAGATGTAAATAAGAATTAAGAATTGCCATATTAATTCCTACATGTAAAAGGCACTAACATTTTCCAGACTATTAAGAATATTCTATTTTCTGAAAGTAATAAGGTGTTCGGGATATGCCTGAATGTCACTAAATACGACAAACATCGTTGGATTTTTCACATTGTCAACCACGCTGTCATACATGTCAGTAGGATCCGCTGGGTTTTTTGGTGGTGGAGTGATTAGTCCTCCACTCCCAGCACAGTACTGCCCAGTGAGGACCCGAGCCAAGTACATGTATCTTTTGCCGTTCGTATCTGGTCTGGAATAAGTATCCTGAGCAGAGTAACTTGCATCAACAGCAAAGTAGGTTCCTTTTCCAATGCTTGCAGCTGTTTGGAAATAAAATGTTTTCAAATATAGTTAGTGTCCTGATTTCCATAAGAATCTCTAAAGCTCCATTTTTTTTATTTTTTTTTTTTCCTCCACTCTGTGGAAGTTATACATTCAGTTATAATTTAAACAGCAAATTCTATTAATAATTGTTTGTATCAGAATCAAGTATGAATCCACTTAGATGTCAGGTAATATCAACACCCAGGTCTTGCCTGCTCTTTCCTTTGGGGAAAAGATTTCCTTTCTCTGTTTAGTCTGCAATCCATCAAATTGCAAATCTTCAGAGCCTTTTCAGCTTACAATGACTCTATAATTGTAATTACAATTTTCTAGTTACACTTCACAGCAAGAAGTTAGAGGAATCCTGTTTCTTAATCTGAGACAGATTTCTTTTTTTCTGACACTGGTAGAAAGCTGTTCAGGCCAGACAGGTCCTTCCTATCTGGCTGCTCTCATCTTTGGATATTTTTGCATGGCTACCCAGCCTGACAGAAGGGAAGTGTGCCTTTGCTATCGTAAATCATGGCCACGATGGTGAGGTGGATGTCAATACTCACAGGCAGCGAGAGGACATGGGAATCTAGAGCTCTGGCATCCTGAGTAAAACAACCTCCTGGCACTACCAAAGAGCAGGAAAGCAAAACTACATCTCCTCCAGTCATGTTATAGGAAGAAATAGTGGCTGCCATTTCTATCTGTGCACAACCTGATACATTTTGTGTATGTCAGGCTTCATTTTCTCAAGAAAACATCAGTGTAAGTACCTCTAGAGGATCCAGAGAAATGTCTGCTTTAGGATCCAGACCACACTGAAGTGTCAACTAGATCTGAGTTAAGATGTCTGGCTCTCTCAAGATCAAGTCAGCCCTAGGCATGAACAATTATGTCTTAAGGAAGCAAACATTAAGAATAAAGAGTAAGGACTTTTGAGGTAAGGTTGCAGGAGCTCTAAGAGCACCTGGTACCTCAATTCAACCCAAGTTTGACTTCTTTGGATCCTGTCCTTCATCTTTGAATGCTACCAAATAATAAACATGACTGTACTAGAGGAACTGGACAAAACAATCTTTCTGCTAAATATTTAATAGTTATCCCTAATAACTATTGAAGGAGAAGAATTAACTAATTAAATTCAACTTATTTCATTTGCATAAAAAGGGTAGGGGAGTGGCATCTTCTGATTGCTTGTGCTCTCCTTGTCTTTGAAGGCAATAGAAGTATCTGTACCCTACTTTGCTACGTGCCTGTAAGAGGAGAGGAGATACGAGCAGCTGGTTAGTATCTCAGCTGAGGATGTTCAACAGCAGTCCCTGTTCCTTTCTGTAGGCAGATGATACAAACCATTTCTGAAAAGGTGCCCAGGCTTGATTTCAGAGTAAGTGAGCTTTTTCTGATACTCTCTGGCTAGTGGCATTTATCAACAAGGGATTAACTAACAGGTTAGCTCCTCTGTCCATATAGTTAATGCTCCAGAATTGTTTATTAGGTTGTTCTCCAACCTTATTCAGTCTTCATGTTGGGCTGGCAGAACTGTAACATCAACATTCCCTAGCACCTTGTACATGTTTAGGAAATTAACTGCTTTGGATAACGACTCACCATTCTTTCCAGCAAAGCCACGATTAAATCCATTGTAGTTGATCGTGTTCAATGAGGATACAGCTGTCCCATGAAACAGCAACTTCTCATTATTTTGATTTTTGTTCATTGTAGACAGAGAGTTTTTTTTTATTTGGTATGTCTGCCAGAGGAAGGGATTTTGTATTCTTTCAATCTGCAAAGTTACAAAATAGAACTATATTTATACTGGTAGAGACCAATATTTATCACTTCAGGAAAGCATTAAAACAAAATCAAACAAAGAATGACAGTAATTTTTACTATGCCCTGTTAGTATGTGGTTTGGGGTGGGGAACTGAATACGTAAGCCTCCTGAAAAATCAGAAACCAAAGTAGCTTACAAGAGGTTTTCAAGCTTGGTCACTTTTGGCATGCATTTGCCTTGCCTAGTATACCAGGCACACGGGCACTCATGGTAGCTGTGCATTGTCACTTCTAGAAATAAGCTGTTGCAGCACTGCTAGAAGCAATGATGTAAGATGCCTTCTGTACATCCTAATCATCTTTACTGATGATTTTCTCACTCAAGAGTAGGCAGTAGCGACAGCATTACACTGAATTCAAGTTTCTCTTCTAGATCTCAGCTTGGAAGTCAAAATTACTTCCTTTACTGTGTAGCGTAGCAACCCCCAAGAAAAAGTCTTGTATAAAAATAAATGGATGGCAAGACAGATGTTGCTGGCTCCCTATGCCTACATGAATATAGCTCAGGGGCAAACACTGTATCTGCATCAAAGTATAATCTTAAGGCACTGCTGTAAGATCTTTAAATTTTCAGTGGAAAAGGACTTCATGTCAACGCCTAATTTTTTCCATTGTACACTAATATTTTGTTCAATTTGTATCTTAGTGACCATGCTCATTGAATGACATGATGGAAGAAAATTAATTCAAACATCTTCTCACTCTTAATTTCACTGTATTTTCTCCTATTTATCACTCCTCCTGATTTTGAGTAATTCCATCTTCTCCCTGGCAATTAAATCTCTGTGCACTGTGTTGCAGACTTCTCAGTAAGCAGATCAAATCTTGACACTTTGGTTGAAGCCAACACTCTAGCCTGAAAGGCTATGAGACTGACAGGGAAGAAGTAGTAAAATAGTAAAAAGCTTTATGGCCAGTCTGCGTGGTCTTTTTATTTTCCTTTGTATTCTGAATGCGTTTGCTCATGCTTCAATTTCAGTATAGAATTCCCTCAATGGAAATCCCACATTAACTAGTAAGCACCACATTTAGTTGAACACAGAGTCAGCCTGAAGACCTGATGGTCACTGGTTTTACATTATTAGAAGGCAGAAAAGGCAGGGCAACTCTTAGGAAATGTTATTTATATCCACCCTGTGCAGTGCTGGCGAGACTGACATATCAAAGGTGTATTAGGTTGCAGACACCTTAACAAACAAATACTTAGAAAGTATATTCATGTTTTTAACCCAAGAATTTGCTTTTCCCCCCACCATTGTATTCACCTTCTCTATGACAAAGCTGGGACAGGTTTTAGAAAATTTGTTCTGAACATCCAGATATTCCTGACTTGATGGCTTGAGATTCACCAGTTTGACCCGTTCGTTCTGCATGTCTTCCCAGTGCTTAGGGAGCTCTATTGACTGCTTATCTGCAAAACAGAGACTGCATTATTATCACAGATAGTTTTGTAGGCACGTCCTACAAACCAGCTGCAACTGGCTGAGAGGACAGTACCTTATGCAGTATTGCATTCCAAGAATACTCTCTCTCTCTCTCTCTCTCCAATACATGACTGCCTCTGTAAAGCACTGTTAAGACTTTACATTTTCTCTAGTCTAATTATCTTCATACCTGTATCTAATTAAAACAAGTTTGAAAACCACAGAATAGTTTTACACATTCTTCATACACCACTTCCTTTGTCAGACTTAAGCATGAAAACTTGTGCTCACTAGTCACATAAATACAAATCTTATCTGTACATAAAACAGATGTTCTGATTTCAGTCATATCTGCCACTAATTATGGAAATAAAACTCCTGGCTATGATATGCCTGGGGAAAAAAATAAATAACAAGTAAAAAAAAAAAAAAAAAAAAAAGAGGAAAAATAGCTATGGAATAGCTTACTTCAGAATACCTGAGTTTGCTTTTATCAGAATTATCATTCAATAATCACTATTAATGGGTTTTTTTAATTAACAAAGCTGTAATTTACCTTCATTCTTTGGCACACGTTGAACGTTTGTAGTTTTTCCTTGGTCATCAGTAGCCTGTAGAGTATTCAGATCCACCTTGTAGTTCTTCTTGTTAATTTTGACAACAAGATGTGGTTTTTTAGCTATTTTTGCATCCTCCAGATGCATATTTGTAAGTTTATCAAAAGAAACAAAGCTATCATTGCTTCCTGGATACCTCCATTCTACCAGGTTATAAACAAGCTCTGCCTTGGATCGTTCTTCTTGAGTATCTTTAATTTTTTGGATAATTTTTTGAACTTCCACATAAACACAACAGACATCCCTGCTAACACCAGAAATTTTAATGTGAGGGGGGGAAAGCTTATTTTCAAGCTCAATGGAAACAAGCTTTTTTCTCTGGAGATCTGCCAAAGCATCAATTTGCCTCTCATCAAAGTTTTCAATTAGCTCATCTGAAATATTGTTTTCCAACTGTTCCTTTAAAATTAAATTATTTATCCAAGACTCAGCTGCATCCACATTTTTTTGGCTTTCTCCACAAATTTGAAATGTGGCTAAATAAACTTTCTTTTCCAAAACCATGGGCTTTTTCGTCTCAGTGGGTTGTTTTCTGCTCCAAAACAATGCTGTGAAAAAAAATATATGTTAATTGTTAGTTTTAAATAAAAGATCTTTAGTTTTATGTGCACATGGAAAACCCACCTACTTACATTTAAATGTAGAAATCCACGAACCTGTTGTGGATGAATCTGAATAGTCTCTTTTCTTCAGGCTTTCGGCGAAGTCTTTGAGCATATTTATCTGGAAGATGACGATTCTAATTTTTTTCAAATGCTGTACTGATTTTTTGCTTGCAAATTCCACTATAGCATCCAACATGTCATCAGCTACCTTCGCTGGACTCTGTCCTGCTTGACCTAAACAACAATAAAAGGCATGTATCAGTGAACAGTACGTAAATCAAGGCAGCATCCAGAAAACAGAGATCACATCCCCAGCCCATACAGACTGGTGTCCCCCTCTCCTCCTCCATCACACTTTCTGGCCAAAGCCCCAGGCTTAACCTCAGCTTTACACCTAAGCCTGGGAGCTCCAGGAGCTGACACCCTTCAAAGACCTGAGAAGCCCTTCTGGAATTTACCCCCCATTTACCTGGAGGCTCCAACAAGCACTTCAGCCATAGCATCCCCCTGACGTTTTTAAACCCACACATCACTACCTCTATCCCTATCTTTAAACAGCAGATAGGCTGAAACAAGACCCATAAAAGGTGTAAACTGCAGGTATTCTGTACCCAGCTCACAATTTCCTTAGTCAGCCAGGCAAGGTTTTGGTCTCAGGACAACTCTGGATTTCTTTGCCTATAAACCCTGACCCCAGCCCTCCCGTGTGGCTGAAATCCCAAAGCAAGGTCTGTGGAAAGTTTGAAGAAAAATGCAGGGTGGCCAGCTGAGATACACAGTCTCTTTTGGGGCAGAATGTCTTTTATGGAGCAATACCTTTTCTTTAGGTTTTCTTGCTCAAACAATATTGACTGTAATATTTATAGTTTTTTTTTTAAAAAAGCAGCATTTCTGAAGTGTGCAGATTGTGTTTGAACTGACTACAGTGAACTTTCACAAGTCACAGTTTATGGAGCTCCTGTACAAGTCTACTGTTACCCATATCAGAAGTATTAACTTTGTCCCAGTTTCTGAACTACCCCCATCACAGCCCTCATCACTCTCCCAAGAAAACACAAACCTGTTCCAATTGCTGGGAAGGCAACAGATTTGTACATCCTTAGCTCACATTCCTTAAGCACTTTGGAGACCTGATTCTTCACGCCGTCGTTGTGAATTAAGTGGATGATTTTACTGCACAACAGTTTTCCACCTTTTGTGGTAATAAAGTCATTTCCAAGCTGCCCAGCTAGAAGACAGAAGATAAAAAAGGAGACATAACATTTTCAAAGTGGCTATCTTCTGATAAGACAGCTGGTTATACTAATGCTAGGAGAGAAATTGAAAAAGTGCAAAGAAATCCACTGTGAGCTATATTGCCCTGTTTTTTGATTCCAGGTTTTCTCTGTAAATACCACAATTGCAGAATTTCTTTGAGAAAGTAATTCAAGTAATTGTGTGTTTCCTAATTTCCCAAGATCTCTGCTAAAAAGCAGTTTCCTATTAAGTAAAGCTTAAGAAATTATGTTGAATTTAAATACAGTTAACTTTTATTTAAAAGCATGCCAACAGAATGTGCACGATTCATTTCTATGAGAAAACTTTTCTTATGCCAGTTATGCCTTGAAAGCTCAAACTCTTATTCTACAGAAGAGCTGAATGGTTAAAATAATATTAAGATAATGACCAGCTGATCCAAGAACTGCTGTATGGAATCTTTAAAAAGACATTCATGTTTTTCAGAGCACTCCCGTTTAATTACAAACACCTCAAAATGGAGTCATGTTGTGAGGATGAATGGAATGATGAACACAGAGTTACATACCACTTTACTGGTCACAAAGGTAATGACCGATTGATTCTAAGACACTCTGCATGTGCTGAGATCAGGCTGATAAACAGGGGGAGCCTGCAGAACCAAAGGCTGGGAAAAATATCCAGGAAACTCCATTTTGAAAGTTAACTTCCAGACTCAGAGCAAGAACATTTTGTTTATGCAACCAGAAGGTGTTCCTTTTTGTGCTCGTAGAGGCCAACCACAGTGAGTTGGGATTTTGCTGCTCTACAGGTCTGGCAGAATGCAGACTATGGAACAACTCAGGATCAGGGTGATAAGCAGAGTTACATTGTTTCAGTAAAAAATAGTTAATGTGTTTGTGAATATAAACCCAGATTTTCTACGAGCTTTTAAAATCCAGTCCTGCACTTGCTCACACCAAAAGACAGCCTGACACCACTTTTTTCAGAGTCAAAACTTCAGTTCTCCTGTAGCTGACAACAGATGAGCTTAAAAACTATACTCAAGTTAATGGGACTGTTTCTGTTCTTACTTGAGGAACACACTTGAGTAATTTCAGGGTTAAGGAAATTAAATCACATTAATTTCCCAGCACTTATTAGCATCAGAAAACTATATCCATCCAGCTGTGAAAGGAAAAATTCTCAAAGTAGGTGTCAAAACAACACCAGGGATTTTCAAAATTCTTAAAACTGAAAGCTGTGTTTTCAGATGAAATAATTATATGATCAGAGTAGAGAATTATAAAACAACTTTAAGTTTTCAGACAGAACAAAAAAAAAAAAAATCAAACAAAATAGTATGCTTTAACTTACCATATTGATTACATTCTCTTTGTACTTCGGAACCAGCAGCATCCATAATTGCTTTGAAGACCCCTTAAGTTATACAAGAAAAACATACACATTCATTAAGTCAACTTTGTTTTGTTTTTTCCCCCAAAATTCGACTCAACTTCTGTACTCTACCTATTCTCCAAATTCTCCTATGGCAAGATCCCACAAAGTGCAAGACCTTGCCCTAAGTACCCTCCATGGCACACTACACTGGCTGCAAAGAGAACACTGCCTTCATCATTGATTAGAAATCATTAACAAGAACTCCTATGTCATCCTTTCACCAGCCAATAATACACCCCACACCAAACTCTCCGATTGCTTTGAATTGTATCATTTAATGTCTTTCATGTTTGCAATTGACAATGTCACCAAAGAATTCTTTGCTTCTTACAGGTCAATTTACTTAACCAGGGCTTCGGGCTTACAGTGAAACATATTAGGACAAGAGCAGTTTTTCAAAATTGTATTTGATCTAAAAAGTGCCTTTTATTTAAGCATTTTTGGTTTTAAACAAGAATAATCTGGTCAGATGCCTTCTGTTTGTTTGGAAACTAAATTGGATATTCAGGACACGTCGAAAAAACCTCTAAGATCTGCTTCCTGAATAATCACAACACTCGCTCTCTCTCTCTCATCTGAAAGATACTTCATAAAAGTTTCTCATACAGACAATTCTTTCTCCTGCCCCTTTCTAAAAACTAGCCCAAATTTATCACTAAAGAATTATATACTCAATACAATACCTGATGAGGCATCAAATAGTGAATTTGCTATGTTTACAATAACCTCTGTATCTTCATTGGTAATATCTCCACAAACTACTTGGAGTGTAATGGAACCAATCTGCTTTTCAGTAACTTTCAGTAGTTCAGGTGAACGAGGCCTAACGACACCTGCAATGGAAAGAAAAATGCCTTAAAATACTTCTCTACATTTGGGTATTGTTCTCTCCCACTGATGGAAACTTCAACTTATCATTTTAAGGAATATGCTCTAGATCAGTTTGATGGACCTAGAGAGCCTCTGCCTTTCCCTTTACTCCAATTCTGAAAGCAGGGAGGGGCAGTATTCTTCCTGTTTAAATACAGCGAAAGTGAAACCATTTCTATTCCTGTAAATTGACGCAGTATGAATTCAGAAAGGACTTCTGGGGTTTTCTGATCTGACCAGCTCTGTAACAGAGTTTCCTGAATTAACACTTACAAGAAATGGAGTATCTGGCTTAAACATTGCCAGCAACAGAGATCCTATCACACCACTTTTGTAAGTATTTCACCTTTAGCCTCATAGACATAAACTGTTCTTTACTTCTAGTCTAAACTTACCTAATTCATATTTTATCTGCATACTCTTAACTTTGTCTCACAGCAACTGAGAAAAAAGAGCTATATATTCTTATGACTAAGCCTCTGCCGTTGATGCAGTTCACTCATGTTTTTGCTACTGTGTCACACTACCATCAATTAATAAATGGAAAGGAAAGAATCCATTCCGTATATCTCTATATAGGAGATTAAAAGTACAGAAACACATTATGTATGGCTTGGTTGGCAAAGCAATACCAAGTTCTTGTGCCCTTTGAGTAGGACAAACTAAAGGTTCTCCTATCATGATATCCTCTTCCATGCAATACGACTGGCCTCACTAAGAGATGAGTATGTCCTCAACAAAAGAAATTCCTCTTTAAGATTTTTACAAATGCAGTTTAAGAATGCCAGTCCATTAGGAAGGAAAAAAAAAATGCCATGTGTCTTGATGACATTTTGTCTGTTTCCCAATACATATAAAACCACTTTACAATATTTACATTATCCCCTATGTCCCACCTCCTGCCCCTACACATCTTACTTGGCTGTGGTGATGCTGCAGCACCGGAACTTCCAGCTACTCTATGTTCTAGTTCAGCAGTAAAAGCCTAAGAAGAGAAAAAAGATACCAGAGATAGTAGGTCAGAGTTTATATACCAAATATTTCTATAATTAATATTAGCAGTCATGTGGCTCCTTCTGAGCCATTTGATGCATTTTACTGTTGTGTTTAGGTATCATTAACAACAGTGGAAGGACACTGCATTCACAGATCCTGTCTTTACATTGCCAGAACTCCTCTGTCAAAAGACGAGTGAGCATCTACGAGCGTTTATAGCACCAGCAGCAAAGCCAGTTCTGTCTGCAGCTTGTGCTTGCTGAGAGTTTGTATTTCAGAGATACTCAGTGAGACACTGGAGAGACATCCCACAGACACCAGCCCACAGCAGTAAGAAAGTGCTAAATTATTCCCTTAAGAAAGCAATGTAACTAAAATATATTGTTAAGGCATAATTAGAACAGTATATAAGACAGACAGCTTTGTCCTGAGAAGAACTACCTGAATGTTATCTATATCTTTCGGATTCAAGAGAAAATGAACTTCCTGGAGAGTCTTCTGAGGGTGAGTACTACTGAACTTGAATACCACATCAAACATTAACTTAGCAACAACCATTTTAGGAAATCCAAATCCTCCAGTTCCTATAGTGGGGAAAGTGATTGATTTCAGTCCAAGCTCTTCAGTTCTCCTCAAGCAGAAATTGATTATATCTTCTAAGTCCTGTAAAACACAACAAAAAGAATTTATTATTAGTTCCATACAGACTATACTGCTATGAGAAAAAAGTCCCAGTGCATCAAGGCATCTTTAAGGTCACTCCAACAGAAGTAAATGTAGTTGAGTCATCTAAACTATTTTAAAACCTGAAACTTCAGGAAAGGATCCCAAGTAAATCTGTTTTCAAAATCAATTTATCTTTAAAAAAAAAAAAAATAATTAAAATGTACCTTCAGAGCCTGTCCTTTTCCTCCATCCCATATAGGAACTATGGCATGAAACACAGACTTGCAGGTCAGAGCGCATCCACTGGTGCAGACCACACTCCCTTGACCAGCACCCCTTCTTTGTTTGTCAAACTCTACTTGGAGTGCTGGTCCAGCCTTTTCTAGCAAAGCTTTGCAAAGAGGTCCCACGCCAAACTTCAGATCTGTGCCAACACTGTTGACAATAACATCCGTCTGCAACAAAATTACAACAAAAATGTCTATAGCCAGACTTCCAAGTAAAAATACACATCGAGACCAATAGCACTACCAAAGCAACGCACAGCACGGAAAACAAGATGCCAATGGAGACATAACTTGGTTTTCAGCACAGCTTCTGCGTACTGACTATTCCTGGATTTGTAGGAAACCTATGGTAGGCAGCACCAGACCCCCTGTGAGTACCAACACCACAGGTATCTAGGTGCAAGCAGGTCATCCATCCATCCATCCATGTGTCCATCCATCCATCACTGTCAAGCCCTCAATGGAGGTAAAGCTGTGACCCACCTTGTCCCAAGCAGACACCAGTGTCTGGGCAGCTGCAATAAATCCAAACTCTACAGCCTGCTTCATTCCCTCTCCTCAGACCCAGCCTGTCCTACATTTCCTTGGGAAGAACTGCTGCAGTATTGTTCCTTCTTCTCTAGAATCATCACAGGATGAAAAATATATGTATTGTATAAGGTACACGTAATGTAGAAGTTTTAATGTCCCTTTCCTCCTTTTCACTGAAGTGTGACTGGCTACACCTTATCAGAAAAGCAGCACCTCATGCACCAAAACAAAGTGAAGGGAGGTGGTTGTGCTCTCATGAAGTAAAACAGGCAAAGACCCAAAGTGTGGCATTTGCTTTGCTTTTTTCCACTGGAGACATTTTAATTAGATGTGTCATGTTGAGGTGTCCTGGTTTGGCTAGGATAGAGTTAATATCCTAGATAGACAGTGAAACTATCACATGAGGTTTTTTGGTTTTTGTTTTTTTTTTTTTTTCATCTAGTATTTCTCTTTTATTGGAATAGCCTTTTACAGGCACCAAAATGACAACTAAAGCGACTAATATTGAAACAACAGGACAATAATAATAATTTAGGGAGATTTAAAACTTACAAAATATAAAAATTGGGGGCTGTTGAAAAAAAAACAGAGATTTATCAAGATGCACTTTGCCTCACTGAAGAAAAAAAACCTAAGAAACTACGTCAAAGGTGTAAACCAAGTCTTGATTGTCTAGGTGACTAGTAGTTAAACTCTTTGTTAGCAAAAAGAATGAAAAAAGAAAAAGGGGGAAAAAATAAGTAGAACCAGGTCTAGACTTTAGCAAAACAATTTAAGCATACACTCTTCTATGGGGTCGTGTTTCTAGAGCCCAATAACCTCTTCACAGACTGTGTCTTTAATCCATCAAAAGAGAAGGGTACTAAAACCAATAAGCTACAACCTTCCTGTCAGCATGGCTCACAGCAACAGCCAAGGAAGGTGCCAACTTCCCATAATATCCAATCTAGATGGCTACAGATTGTATAAATACTTGTAGGAAGCATTTTAATATTTCCCTTCTAGAAAAAAAGCAAACTGTTTTACATGTTGACCTTTGATCTGGAGCACTAATAAAATCTAGCTGGGAACGAAACATCCCAAAATTCACAGCTGTCCACCAGAAACAGCTGCAGAGTGACAGATCCCAACCTGAAAACCACCAGCTTTCCAAGTTCACCTTCTCGTTTAGCTAGCACAGAGCCGTTGACTCCTTACATAGCAATTGCCTTGTAAAACCATGTAGCCTACTGTCCTTCCTTTTCTACTTATATTTAAAGAAGACACTCAATCAGGTTAGAGAGGAAGCAGAAAATTAAAGACCTACCGTGGCTTCCTGAATGTTTTTCTCCTCTATTTGGATGCGAAGCCCTTCATTTGTCATAATCATCCGCAGATCCTTTCTCTTCTCCTTCTGGCTTTCTCTCAGCTTCAAGTCTTCGAAGCATGGCATCACATGTGGCAGGGAGGGTAATTTAACTGCAAACACTTTTCTTGCTGCCTCACTCAGAGCCTGAACTGTTTCTTCTGCATCATCCACAAGATGAATCTCCTTCAAGCTGCCCTCCCCCATGGATTCTTTCAAGGCCTCCTTGATGGCAGATAAAATTGAATGTGTACACGTCTGCAGCGGGAAGCCAAAAACCCCTCCGCTTACTGCGGGCAGAGCTATAGTACGATAATTGTATGTTTCAGCTAGCTGTAGACTTTTCTTCACTGTCTTTTTTAACAAGGATGTGCACTTGTCTGCTTCATTCTTGCTCCACTTGGGCCAAACAGCATGGATGACATTCTTGCAGGGGAGTTTCCCAGCACCAGTGATAACAGCACACCCAGGTTGCAAATTCCCGTTCCTCCTCACCAGCTCGTCACACTCCTGTTTCAACCCTGGACCAGCTGCTTTTAACAGCACCTCAGCAATGTGTTTTAAGTCTTCATCAGATGCATTCACCACAACATCAGCTGGGTAATTACCCAAGTTACCTTTATACACTGCTACTATAACTCCATCTATCATCATTTTCTTGTAGTAGAGCTTTCTTTTCTCTTTATCAACAACTACTTCACTCTTCCGTTGTTGTTGCTGCTCTTCTTCTCCTTCCAACCTAATCAAACAGTCAAATTTCTGCTTTGCCTCAAAAATGTACGACTCCATCCTCTCAATGAAGATCTCTTTGGCTCCTGGTTTATCATTTGGCACATTTTTCAAGTAAAGGGATGAGAGAATTTTTTCAAACACGGTCACTGCTTTGGGCACTTCTGCTCTTGGTCCACTCAGGGAAATAGATGGTGTCTTGGTGTTAAAATATACTGTCACACCTTTCTTCTTCAGTGGATGATAAACATTGGTTTTTTCTTTCTCTACAAACCGCACTGCCACCACTGACTTAGCCGGGATTACTTTTTCCACGTTTATGTTTCTATCTACAAAATCACTAATTTGCTGATAAGCTTCTGTTACAGCCTTAGAAAAGCCAGAAATAATAATGGTATTTTCTTTTCCCACAGGTTCATCAATGAGTAGAGTTTCCTGGGAAGAATTGTGCTTCTCACGCAAGGAGGCAAGAAGACTCCTCCACTGCTCCTTTTTAATGACCTCACTGTCCTCCACATTGACACACTGATATGCTAAGCCTGCCGTTATTTGCTTTTCTGCTTCTAAAAGATCTTGGGGAGCATCTCCAAATAGCAACACAGTATCATTCTCAAGCTCATAAAAAGCATTAATTTTTTCACTAATGAATAATGTCTCTGACATTGTTTTATTATCTACGTGCCGTAGATAGCAGAAAACACGAGGATCAATGGGAACTGATGTACATGGCATGTTCAATACCTTTTCCAGTAAGTCAGCTTTGATTTTATATACTTCTGCAGGTAACCCACACAACTGAAAAGTGTTTTTTGTGTCGTCATAAAAGATCTTTAAGCAGGGATATTCTTTGTGAATATTCTCTTCTAGCCCAGCATTGTGCAGAATGGCATACTTCCCTGGGACCACTGGCACTGAAATTTCTATGCTTTGTTTTTCCCTTTCACTTTCTTTCATGGCTTTTTCCATGCATTCCCTCACTTCTTTCTCTGCACTGTCCACTGCTGCTCTGTTGCCTGCAATCACCACCATCTCCTCAGAAATATCAGTTATGATCAAAGCAACATCTTTCACCAATCTGTTTTTCACCTCTTCCCAATCCACTGAGTTTACTTTACACTTTATAGCTATGTAACATGACATGATACGTGAGAACTCAGTAGAAGCATCTTGCTTCCATGTCTTGATCAACTTGATCATTGGCTTTTTCTGCTTGGAGAGAGATGATGACGGGCACAATGTAATTTCTGGCTGTGCACAGTCTGTCTCTGGCCATTTTAGCTCACAATGGCAAATTGCCATTTTCTGGTTTATGTCTTGGATCAGCTGAGGCTGCCCTTGTAAAAACTGCCAGACATACGGATCTAGTGGCACCCTAACGGGGTCTGGCATCTTGATAGTTGGTCTTTCTTCTCCATAGAGAGCTGTTCCTAGGGAGTGGTAATATGGATGCACAGAAATCTGTGTCTCCTCCAGTAAATGCTGCTTTTCTAAGACAGTTTTCACATCTAAAAGTTAGCACACACAGAGACAAGCACACATATATCATTAACTTCAAATCAGGCACATGACTGTGTTTTAAACTATTGCAATGAATATTTTTTTTTTCTTCTCATTTGAAAGAGCCATTTTTGTGCCTTTCAGATTTCCAAACCACTTTGCAGGGGACAAGATAAAAGGCAAATACAGTAAACATGCCTGAGCAGGGCCATATCAAGTTCCTACTATGAAATGCTCCTTACTGTCAACTTAAAATACAGCTCTTCATGCCAGTGCATTTTTTTTTTCCTATTTCAATTGGAATGGACAAAGGAAAGGAATTATAATGTTGTCAGGTACTTAAAACCACATTACAGTGATCCAGATTACCTACTAACTTAACATACAAAATATTCTTAAGCAAATTCTGAGAGTCAGAAGAAAAATAATTAAAGATATCTGCCAGGTGATTGAAGTAATGGAATTACTAAACCAGGAGTCTCCTAACACAGAGATATTTACCAGAGGTTGTGCTGGCACAAAAATGGGACAGTGATTCAACACAAGGAATAGTAACAAGATTGTTCTTTAGCTCTATTCTTCCCTGATAATGAATATATTTGACCTTAATTAGTTTCTGAAAGCTAACTGTGAAAGCTGAAGTCATTAAGAAATCCTGCTTCATCTCCCTGTAAGTACAATTCATGTTGCATTGATGATAAAAACGTCTGTAAATGGGGAAAAAAAAACATCAGTAGAAACAACCCATGCACAAAGCAGGTACTAAAATGAACCTCTGGTAACATAAAAAACCAGAGAGATTCTGAAACTCTAGACATGGAGCAGTATTTCCAAATCCAGAGCACTGGATTTAGCACAGGAGCAGGACAATGTATGCTGGCTTTAGTGACAGCAAGCCAGGCTTATCCTAATGCCCAAATTTCAGGTAATTTTCTTTCAGGTCCTCTGCCTGGAGCACTTTGGTCAGGCGAAGCACAATGTTACCTTTGTGATCACAGAAAGTAATGATGGCCGAGTTCTCGTCAGGGAAGAGCTGGACTTCCAGCACGGGCCCCCCTCCGTTCCGCACACTCTCAAAGTAAACGGTGATGTAGTCTGTGGAAACGGTCTCCGGTATGTTTTCAGCCTTGATGCTCTGAGTCAATTCAAGAAGCCTGGCAGTCATTTTGAATTCTTTAATTCTGTTGTTTTCTGAACATTTTTTGACAAATTCTTCAGTATCTGTAAACAGAAAAGCAGGATGAACTGTGTTTTCCTGTGCTGTTATCAGACCTGGCTACTGCTTCTGGCAAAGAAATGAGCTGAGTCTACTTCTCCCTGTAGTTGGAGCCAAGCTGTCTTTGGTGCCAAATAACTGTGTTGTAACGAAAAAAGGGGAAATGCACACAGCCACCTTACTCTCTGCTATTCCCTACCACTATGTATCGGTTCCCCTCTTCCTCATCTCTTGTTTAAACTAAGCACTTTTGTTTCACCGTCTCCTCAAATGGAGACTTTGTATACTTCAATAATTTGCAGAACTCAAACTCATTTCCACACACAGTCCACTTCTAATTCTTCTCCATCTAACCCAAAATAAGACAGAGACAATGAAACATTCTCATCCAATCTCAGATAATGAAGATGCCACCACTTTCTTTTTTCAGTGTAACATTTGGATCACAGGCATTTTCATGCAGAGCTGTATATAAGATTTACATCTTCCTGGAGAGACTACAGTCTCTCTTTTCAAAACTGTCTGAATCTAACAGGAGAGGACTCAAGTTCTGAAAGCTATTACTCATACATAGACATGGCAAATGATGATGTTCATCCTGTCTTACCGATACTTTTTATAAAGGTAGCTACGGCAGCATTTATTTCAGGTATCACTTCCACAGTGAAGTCATCATCTACTGACAGGCCACTGACGTTCTCTAACAGCATACGGAAGCATTTTGGACTGCATCCTTGTATGTTGTCAAACACCACCGAAGGTGAGGTCTCTGCAGGCTTTTCTGCGATGTTCTCCGCAGAGCTAGCTTCCTCCTGTGGTTCATTGTTCGGAAGAACACTCTCTGCTTTCTGCAAGGCTTCTGCATCAACTTCAACAGAAAGAGAAATAAGCCACATGACATATTGGTACACATTTTCTGGAATAAGCAGTTTTTGCTTACCCTTTCTCTCCTTTCCTTTCCCAAGAAGGGACATCATCTAACCAACCAAATACTGCAGGCTACCCCAGGACGTTTTGGGATCCAAAACAGCCCAGACACAATATTCTGCGGGGCTGCAGGCAGCTTCTTTGGTGGCACAAAAATAGCCATGAGTAAACAAGTCCAAGGTCGCTCAGATATCTCCCAGTCAGAGACATCAATAAAATAAAATAAAATAAAATCCATTGAGAAAATTGGCCACGGCTCCTCAGGCATTGGGAGGGTTTGTGAGAGACCCTGCAGCCTCTGTGTCTGTTTCTTAGCCCAGGTGCAGATACAACAAGCCCAAACATAGCTCAGGACATCCACAGGCACCACAGGCCACCCGTAGCTCTGTGTGACTCAGTGCAAAGCCTCCTGATGACCATCAGTGTGGCATGACAGCGCTGAAGGACTCGTGCACAGAAGGCTGTCAGGGATGCAACAAAATTTTGTTGCTAGAAAATATAGACAGGGGTGACCACTGAGTACCCCAGAAGTCCAGCGGCTGCCCGAGGAAGGCACATGTCCAGCTTTGCAGACATGAGGGTGGAGGTGGCAGAGAACCTCCAAACGAGAATGACATCCTCCTCCATGTGCCCGAGTAAACTAAAAGCATCACCCAGGTACGTGGCGACACAACTGTCCAACAAGTCATGGAAAACAGTGGTCAGAGAGCATTGCAGGGTGGCGGGGGACTGGCACAGGCCAGAGGGCACCCCAGGGTGCTCAAGATGGCCATACTCACAAACAAAGGCAGCTCTCCACTTCTTGCCCCAATGAACACTAGTAGGACCACCAGCCTCTCTCAATGTGGTAAACCAGCGTATCCCTGCACTATGGCAGGGAGATGAGCATCAAATGAAACCCTGGTGCTCACCACCCTCAGTATAAACCCCCAGGGCCCCAGTATAAATCTCTGGCAGTGGCAGAGGACACGTACGACTGAGGGGAGAGGAGCTCATTGGAGCAGTTGTACACCTGACCAGAGATGTTGGGGGTATAGGGTTTCTGTTTGCATTTGCTCAAGAACACCCAAAAATCCCTCAGTCCTGGGGCAGCATCCAGGGCCGGCCATGGGGGGCAGGGAGAGAGACAGAGATGCTGGGTGGGAAGGCTCAAGCAGGCAGCAGCACAAACAGGCTGGCTCTGCCCGCTCGCTGGGTTTACAAGCTCTCTCGAGGTACAACAACTGATACCAAACCCATAACATTTAGAGAAGACAGCTGCCTTTGAAGGCCTACCAGCATAAACCCAACAAGAGGAAAACAAAAGTAATAATCACGAAGCAATAGCTCTACAGATGCTAGTTATTAATTTCTAGATCGCCAACAGGAAATATCTGCTCCACTAGATCTACCAAAGAAAGCACGAAAAAGCCAAAAGTGAAAGCTAGGCTGATCCAACAAAGCAATTAAGAGCAGCACCTGAGGACTTTCAGGTTCCTCTCTAGTGTAACTAAAAAATAGTAGAAGACAACTTTGAGTATGTGATTTTGAAAGGTGGAAAACTACCCAAAATGGCACCAAACAGGAGTTCATACAGAAAGAAAAAGTCAGGATGGTAATTACTGAAGAACTTCCTGATGAACTGGTCTGTCTCGGGGCTGCGTATTTACTCTTCATAGATGTGGCTATATTTGGGTGTGCAGTACTGTTTTCTAGGTTGCTTCCTGAATCATAAATTCAGCTTAGCAGAATATTGCTGAAAGAGGACCTGGCTGAAGTCACTGAGGTACTGGGGAGATACACCACTTGCCTTTATAGGCTCGCCTACCTGCAGGGAGCACAAAGACACCAGGCCTGGGCCCAAGACCTAGAATCTTATCTTAGATCAGTTATGCAGCATAAGGGAACCAAATCCCTCTCTGGAGATGCTCCTCTGATTAAAAAGGCTATTTTAGAAGCTAAAACCAGACATCTGGTCCAAGTCTGGCAAGGTGGATGCCATCCTTGGTGATCAAGTCTACAGCGTCCCTGACCAGACATCTTTCCCTGTGGCACCTAACTCAGGCTGCAAAACTCAGAAGATTTCAGCACAACTCCCCACAGAACTGGAACCACGTGTGGAGAAAAGCACCAACATTTTCGCTTTATGAAGAGTCTGAATGACAGATAACATTTTACCTTTTGTTTCAATGTTGCTCACGGGATCCAGAGCCTAAAGCAAAATGAAAGCAAAATATAAGTGACTGATTTGACACTCTCACCACCATTTCAAAGCTCTGGTTAGGGTTACAATTTTTTTTCACCTTTGCAGGAACTAATTTTTCTTCAAGTGTCTCCTCTTCAGCAGCTGTTTCAGGCTCTGTGACAATCAAATTCAGTTCTTTTTTTCCCAAATACAGCTGATGAGACTGTTTCTCAAGAACTCGTTGCTTCACTAAATAAAACCAAAAAACACCTCAGTGACAATCTGAATAGAAATACAACTTTAAATTATGTAGCACACTTCCACCACTACATTAAGACACATGTACCATCCCACAAAATGAAAGAGCTTTAAATTCAGGATGTTAAAACAGCACGCACGAGGCTTTCCTCCTGAAATGAAGAACAGCAGAGGATGTTATTTCTGCAAAAAAACCACCAGAGATGCGAAGCCAAACTCCTCCACGTGTTTCCTGGTCGGTGCTGCCAGCAGCCTTGTGCTGGGGCAGCAGCACATGGGTCTGGGTACCACCCCCAACACTCTCTCCTAGCCAGTGCCAAAATGGCTTGGGGTTGTGTCCCCTGAACTTACCAGCCGAGTGTGTCAGCAACTAGGAAGCATGATAAGGAAGGAAAAAAAAAATAATCTGTATGCATATGCCTTTATGCACATATATGTACATGCATTTATATGTATACATTTAACACAACTGCAGCTGAATGCTTTCCACCTTGCTTCAAATTTATATAAACACATGTACATTACATATGTCACATTTTTTAGTGACAAGATATATTAAGTAGTGACATATGTACATATACATATGTAGTGACAAGACATATTAAGTTATATTAACATCAGCATTATTATTCCCAGTACCATCTAGAGAATACTACTGTACATCAAAATTAACATATATATATGTATCTATAGCCGGTAGGATATATTTATTAACTTATAGCCTGGAGTTATTAAAAATGCAATCAAGAGGCTAGTGCTGAGCACCCAATTTAAGCACATATATAAGCAATTACATATTCTATATTGCCTATTATGGGATGTATATGACATTATAGACTACGGATTTGTATATTACACATATTATAGACTATAGATTTGTATATCGCCCACTAGACATTATACATATTACATTCGATGCAATAATTAAGTCGGTATATATATGTTAACGCGCAGAAAGTGCGAGTTACAGCGCACGGGACAGCGCCTTGTATCGGGAGCCGACACACCAACCCGCTCCCCGGCCCCCGGCCC